AAAAAAAAAAAAAAAAAAAAAAAAAAGTGCAGCCTGTAGGAGGAGGAGGTGTGAGGAGGAAGATTGGGAACTAAGCTTTGGGTATGCTAAGTCTGAAATGCCTTTTGATCACCCAAGTGTGAATGTAAATTGGGCAGCTGGAAATACAAGAGTTCAGGGGAAAGGTTTGCATGGGAGACATATACTTGTGGCTTTCTGGCTTATATTTGGTCATTTGTATTGGTTCTCTATTTTGCAGTGTTAAAATTACTCCAAAACCTAGCAGCCTAAAACCATAAACATGTGTTGTCTCACACAGAGTCCACAGGTTAGGAATTTCAAAGTGGCTTGGTTCGGTGGTACTGGCTTAGGGTGTCTCGTGAGGCTGCAGTCAAGATTCCAGCAGGGGCTGCCGTATTCTGAAGGCTTGGCTGGTGTTGGAGGACCCATTTCCATGGTGGCTTATTCACAGGGCTAGCAAGTTAGTGCTGAGTGTTGGCAGGAGGCTTCAGCGCCTCACCATGAGGCCTGTCCATAGTGTTTCTTGAGTGTCCTCACAACATGGCGTCTGGGAGGCCACGTGGCTCTGCAAGCACATCCAGGGGCAAGAGTGCAGGTATAGAGGAGGCAGAGAGTGAGTCAGATGTAACCAGGAAGGGGTTTTCCCAGTGGATGTGAGCAAAGCAGAGAGGATCGGGGGTTGAGAGGGCTTCCAGGGCTCCAACTGGGCAAGGTGAGTACATGTGGGAGGCGAAGGAGGGTGGAACCAAGGTGAGTGTGTGTGGCAGGTGGAGAGTGGGAGGGAGTCAGCAGCAGTGCATTGCTGGTCCTGGAGGATTAAAGACCCCTTGGAGCCAGAGCCATTGGGGGAATAAGGTGGGAAAATGAAAGGTGGTCACATGCCCTAACTACCTTAAGTGATTTCCAGCAACTCCCATGATCCAGAATATTCTGGGAGGGGCCATACCACCCATCCAGCAAAGATGGAGGAAGAAAATTAACCAAGTTAATGTCTGGTGCCTACAGCCATGTAGACACCATGGATTCCAACAGCCTGAGTGGATCTCTTGGGTGTCACACACACAGCTGTTTGCACACTCTCTGACACAAACCACTCTCACAGGTGTCATCCACTTAGATGTCACACACTCTTGTCCAGGCGTTCTGTTAGTGTTGTTACATGATCGAGGGGTTAACTCCTTCCAGGAGTGGTTGGGGAAGGACCATGGGGTTGCTGCTTCAGTCCTTCAACTTATCAGCTGACCTTGGCGTCCCACTTTTGACCTGGTGGTGACTGTCCTGTGTCCTCATAAGGAAGGTTTATGCTCCCTGCACTGATGGGCTTCTGATAAGATCCAAGGTCATATTCTGGGCGTCGATAATCACCTTGCCAAGAACTGTGGCTTCCTGGTGCACCTCCCAGAAGTCACTGATCACACGACACCCCCTCCCAGCCACCCCAGTCCTCCCATGCTGACCCTCCTGACCAGCAGCACAAGAGATGGTGGTGCCGGCAAAATGGGGTTGTGAGCAATAGGAGGCTGCTCTGAGATGGGGCTGTGAAATCACACACACACACACACACACACACACACACACACTCTCACACACACTCACTCTGCCCTGGCCCAGCCCCCAAGCTCTGCAGGCATCTTTGAGCCCATCCATGGGCTGCATCTGGCCAGGCAGGGTCAAGGCAGGACAGGCCATGAGAGGGTGGGAGAAGTCCCAGCTCAAGACCTAGGGACCCTCCCAGCCCTGCCTGGCTCTCTGTGAGATCTGGAAGAGGCTCAGTATGTGTATGGCATACTTGGGGTCTCATTGCCCTCTCTGCCCTTGCACATACTGGAATACCTTCTCAGCCTTGGAGGACCCCCTCAAATGTTCCCTCCTAGACGGAATTCGTCACTCTCTCACTGGGAGCATGGTGGTCCTCCCTCTACAGGGCACTCGCCACATGGCTGAGCCTGGAGTCTGTCTGCCTCGCCTGCTGGACTTTGCTTCCCCACAGCTTTCCATGGCTCTAGCGTAGTGCAGAATGAATAAACAGTGCTTGCGTGTATAGGGAAGGAGTGAATAGGTGGATGGAGGGAATGGGTGGATGGACAAATAGGAGAGTGGATGACGGAGTCCAGGCAGGGCCAGGGAATGGAAGAGGAGTCACCTTGCTAAGGAGGCATGGGCTTCCCTGGCTGCATCCTCTGGGACAGCTTTCCTTCCCAGGACTCCCACTCCTCGCATAGCTGGGCCCCTTTCAGGATAGATGCAGAGAATTCTTCTGGGTCCCCCTTCTTCCTTTGGCTCTAGGCCTTATGTCTTAGGGGGTCAGATGAGGGATGAGTAGCTAAAATGAATGAGCTCCCGCTACATGCCAGCCACTGCTCCAGCCATGTCTACAGACGCCATCTTGTTGAATGAAAATGGCACCACAGGGTTGTGAAGCAGGTTTTATCATCCCCGCCATGCAGCTGAGAAAACAGAGAGAAGCTGAGTGAATTGCCCAAGGTCACACAGCTTACATCCAGCAAGGAGGAGGTCTCAACTCAAAATCTGCTCAGGCAGGCAGGGCTGGGTGTTCTGCAGATCAGCTGCCTCGGAGGGAGGCAGAGGCAGTGAGGGTGGGCAGTGGGCACGGCCCTGCTGTGAATGCAGGAGCTCTGAGTTCTAGTCAGTCCTGGCTTGGCCTCTGTTTTACTGGGATACCGTGGGTGAGACCCTTCCGTCTGGGCCTCAGTGCCCCTGGGTGGCCTTGCTGCCCTTGGAGGGCCATTCCAGATAAATGATGCAGAATGTGGTGGATGTGGATGGCTCCTGGCTCTCACTGTGGGATGTTCCTCACTCTCCCTGCCAGCTGGGAGCCAAAGGGCAGTGACACCCATGGAGTAATGGTTAACCAGGCCCAACACCCCCTCTATAGGGAATTACCTATAGACCAGGTCCACCCCAGTGGCCGAGAGTCCACAGGATGCAGTGGACAAAGGTGCTGGGGCTGGGGCTGGGGGCTGCTGCCTTCTTGGGGCTGGGGATCATCCTGGGCCACTTTGCCATCCCCAAGGAAGCCAGTGTCTCAGCCCCCCAGGACCTGGACCTGCAGATCCTGGAGACCGTCATGGGGCAGCTGAGTGCCAGCAGGATTCGGGACA